CTTCTTAGCTGTCAAATCAGCCTTCTTAGGGGCTTTGGTCTGAGTGCAGGCTTTCTCTGATGTTCCAGGAGAGGGGTCCATCTTGGAACGGGGGAAGGTATTGGATGAATTTAAAATAATTAAGTGAATAAGCAATAAGCTTCCTGGTGTCTTGAACTCTTTTATGTGTCCTACACAGTCTGGTAGAGATGCCCAATAAATTAACTGATGGGCTGAATGAAAATTAAAAGTTACCAAATAAAGGAAAGAAACTCCATTTCTCTTATCGGTGAATAGGGAAGATCACTTATGTGAGTCCCAAGTGTTGATGAATTCTGTCCTTTGAGTAATGAGGACAGGCTGCAACTGAGCTGAGAATGGAGAACGAGAATGGAAAGATTAGTTCAGGTCTTATTCTGGGCTTTGTTGGCAACTATTAATACAAAAAGCAGCTAAAGAAAAACCCAAGGCAATGGAGATAATCAGCCTCGCCACCAATCGGAAATTTTCTTTTCTATTTCTACCTTGAGGTAATCTGCTACCAGTACACTGGGAGCATCTAACTAGACCTGGCTAAACAGCTGAAGCAAGGAAAAAAGTGTAAGTCTCAGTAGCAAGCAGAAAGTGTCGAACTACTGACTAAAATAGCAGTTGCTTTTCTTGTGACAAGTTGTGCAATTAGGTCTGAAAAAGCTCTGTTTCTCAATTCTAATCCTATGAAGAAATAGTGGAAAATTCTGCCGTGCTAAAATTCTGCAGAGAAGTTGAACTGCCTGGGGAATCTTGTCTTCCTGATTTTAGTATCTTTATGACCATCCATAGCATCTCCCCCTTAAGAAGATTTCCTGGTGTGCTTGTGATTTTGTCTAGGGCAGTACGTGTTATCAGCACACGATGGAGGCAGAACGGAAGGGTAGTAAGACTAAGGTTTGGGAAGTACTTTGGCTCAAAGTTCCACTTTGATGATTATTATATTATGTGTTTAAAACTTAGGTACATACTTCTCTGAGCCTAATTATTTACAAATCTATAAAGTGGGTCTAATAAAACTGTTCCCTATGTGGCTATCCTAAGAAATCTAGCCCATCACTCAACCTAGCCCATCACTGAAGCCTAGCCCATTACTCAACCTGTAGGGCATGTTCAATAAATGTAGGTCTCTTCTCCCAAATCAGTGCAATGCATTCATTCATTGGAACCCACATCTTTCCAGACAACACAAGGCATATGAAAGAGCCCAAGAGCCTAGAAGTTGCAGGCATTCTTGAGCCAGACAGGTTCAAATCCAAGTGCTGTCATGTATGAGCATCAAGACTGTAGACAGATAATACGTTAAGTTTCTTCATTTTAAAATCAGAGAAGAATAGTAGCATGGGTATGAAATGAGTTAATCTAGGTCATGAACTAGGCACAGTCAGCACTCTCAACATGTTAGGTAGCATCTCCATTCATCGCCTAGTCAGCAGAACAACCGTGGATAGGAGGGTGAGAAAAACCAGAGCATAACTCTAAGGGTGAGAAGGATCAAGAAACAAGAATCTCCAGGTGGTATGAAATGCATGGTTGAGAGAGTGAAAATAAGCCTTTGTGAAATCCTCTCTCTGTAAGAGTCGCCTACATAAGAAGTTGTAGACCAGCATCTTAATATATGGGACAGAGCTTCTGCTACTCTAAGTTCAGCTAGTGCTGCTTAGGAAGAAACCTATAAAGAGAGTAAGTTTATTTCACACACTGGAGCTTGCCCTCTCCTTAATCCTTTCTTCCACCTTTCCAGGGCTCTGCCTCAGGTACTTGGTTTTGCAAGCCTTCGTATATTTGTTGCAACCCAGCCTCTCCTCTAGCTCCCTTCTCTTCTCCTAAAGCAAGGGTCTTGCAATCCAGCATTAAGCAAAACGGCTCACCTGCCTGCATGCAAACCACAAGGAGAGCATCCTAAAAATATGGGCACAGTAGATATTGTTCAGCCATAAAAAAATGAAATCCTGTCATTTGAGACAATGGGGTAGAACTGGAGGACATCACATGAAATGAAATAAGCCAGGCAAAGCAAGATAAATGCTGAAGGTTCTCACTCATTTGAAAACTAAAAAAGTTGAACTCATCAGAGAAAAGAGTAGAACAATGGTGAGGACTAAGGGGTGAGTAGGAAATATTTAGCTCATGGGTACCAAAATGCAGGTAACTATAGGAATTAGTTCTAAAGCATAGTTGGGTAACTATAGCATACAACAACTTATTACATACTGGAAAACCACTAGAAGAGTTTAAAGGTTCCTAACATATAAAAATGATAAATCTTGGAGAAAATTAAAATACTAATTGCCCTAATTTGATCACTACAAATTGTATAGATGTAGTAAATTACCATACTGTACCCCATAAATATGAACAAATAATATGTGTCAATTAAAATTAAAATATAAACATATGGTTTCTCTGTTTCCACTTTCATTGAATTGGATCCAGTAGGTCAGAGTCAGAGCTTGGCTATCCATATTTTTATAAGTTCCTCAGGCAGTTCTTAGGTATAGTTAAATTTGGGAATCATGTTTCTAGACTTCCTGAACAGAAATCAAAATTTATCTCTCTTATGGCTCAGTCTTTCAAAGTCTTTTTTTTCCCCTAACCTATCTAGAAAGCTTATTTGTGTTTTGGGTCATTGAATAATTAACTGGAAACAATTTCATATGTTCCCCCACCCCGAGATTTTACACAAAGCACAGGTTACGCCATAAGCCAAAAAGTGAAAACTATCAAGAGAAGAAAAGAGACATGGGGAGTTCCCTCCATTCATCTTATAAATGGGCTGATCCTAAAGCTACAGATTTCTCATCCCCTTCCCATTCTCCCAGCAGAGAGGCCATGATAGCCATGAAAGACACAGCGGATAAAAGTTTGGTGGCAAGGACAAAGAGGCACCACAGCTAAACAGATTAAATAACACCACCACCACAAACGTGTGTTCAGCATCAAAGGCCAAGCACCATCTCAAGTATTTGCAAGAAATATCTCATTTAACATTCCCACTGGTAAAACAAAGGGGATATTTACTGCCAAATGCACAGTTGGGTGATTTCATCACTGTGTGTACTTAGAAAAACTAACAAGGCTCCAATGTCACTAGGTGACATATCTAATGGGACCACTGTCTTATATGTTTGCCGGCTGTTGACTAAACCATGATTATGTAGTGCATAATTAGTATTAGTAATTCCACATTAGTATTTGCATTCCTGTTTTAGAAATGAAGAAGGTGAGATACAAGGAAATTAACCTGCCTAAATTTATACAGCTAACAAGTATCTGAGGATGGCAGAGGAAATATTTCACAAAAACCAGAGAATATGCAAGGGCATGAAACTCCAGCTTAGCAGAGATAGATATCGTCTCCTCTTTCCCTTCTCCAAAGAGAACAATATCAAGAGATAGTAAAACTTTTGGGAGAAAGAAGCAAAAAAGAAAAGTGCATAGCAAGAAAATAGCAACCAGGACTTTCCAGTTGACAATTACTCAACTCAAGGGTCTGAGGCCTCTTTCTGACACAGAACTTAGGAACGTCCTTCCTCTGGACAGCCTAGGGGTGGGAGATCCTGGGGAACAGGAGTGCTACCTAGCAGACACCTTTAGTTCTAGAAAACCAAAATTGCCAATGTACTCAGAAAGGAGGAACTAAGTGCTGACTTTATGCAGGTTGCCCAGGCCAGATCGTCAGGGTAAAAAGGAGCCAGGAGTTTCTCTGGAAACTATTCAGGCATACACATTATATCTAGTTGAATTTAGACTGGTTAGAAGTCCAGAAAGCTTCTTAAGTAGATCCTATCAAAATGGATTAAGTATCACTTCAATATGGCAGGACTTCCTTTGAATCTGACACTAGTGTCTTGCCCTTCCAGGTCTTCTAAAATAGACTGCAGAGCTAGAATGACAAGCACCTTCTAGAAGCTCCTCATCAGATGCATAGTCTATAAGTGACTGGGGCTGTAGCTCAGTGGTAGAGTGCCTGCCTAGCATGCACAAGGCCTTGTCTTCAATCCCCATACCACAAAAAAAATCAAATATCCCTCTTTTGATGGATCTGGAAGGGACACTGTCCCCAACATTCCCATTCTGCTCCCTGGGCTCACAAACAAGCGTTGTGTTTGAACAGTCATTTTAACCTTGATGGCACCATTAACGAGAACTAATAATGCATGGATACTTCTTGAAATGCAAAATCTAAAAATAAAAACATTCTCTGAAATTGGACTCAGATCGCTATCCATAAGGATTTTCAGGAGGTTCTGGGGAGATCAAAACATTTCCCCTGACCACCATCATCCAGCTGTCCAGCCAATGACCCAATAAAGACCAATGGTCTTTTTACCTCTTCAGCTGTCAGTGTCAAACATGGGACAACACCCCCTCCTCAGCACAACACACAACCCTCAGTGGAAACCCCAGGCCTCACAAATCGTCCTGCCACCCTCTAACGAGCTAGCAGGCTTATTTCTCAGCAGGGAGTGGAAGACATCAATTCCAGAAAAGCCAAAGAACAGCCCCCTTAACAAGACTCCATTTGGAAAAGATATTTAAGTGAAGTTGTGCTTGAGGAAGTAAAATAGAATTAGCTGCTTCAGTAGCCCAGGCTTCTCAGATTCCCTCAAAGGGAGACCAGCTTATTCGCTTCCAAGTGGAACGAACTCAACAACAATATATCACAGTTAACTACAGTCACCGCTCCATGGAGTTTCAGCCAGGGCCGAAAGCACACTGAAGTGCACTTAATATTCCCCAATCTGCAATCAACCTTTTGTACATTTGTTCCTAATCACAGGGTACAGTTTCATCTTAATGAACTGTTTTCTTACTGTATTATGGTTGGTCATTTCAGCACGCCTAATGGCCCATTTGATAGGTTAAATGACAATTAGGGTCCCTTGGTTTTGTTTCCTGGCAAGTCTTGGAGGGGTTTGATTTTTTTTCCCCTTCTCATTACTTCATTTCAAGGGCAGAGTCATTAAAGATCAAAGACAAAGACTTACCTATTGCAGTCCACATGGAGCAGGAGGTGAGAGGCACTAACAGAAAGAGCGACCTTGTGCCACTGCCCATCTGCCATCCGGTAGGGAAGAGCCTCCATCCTGGGCTTCCCACTATGCATGTAGTGATATCGAATCTCATCCCTCAGACCACTGCTCTCCAGCTCAAAGTAGCTGTATGCAAAGGAACAAAAGTTTGTTTGGTTTTAGCTCGGGGTAACATATCTATCATCAGTCCTCAGCTCCTTACTACCAGCTTTCTCTGAATCTAAAAACAGCTAAGCACCACACGAAGAGCCATGACCCAAAATCAGCTGTGTGCTTGGGACCCAGTTCACCTATTGTCTGAGCCTCTGAAATGGAGATCAATGGTCCCACTGTGACATAAGGAGTCGCAGCGAATTAGCAAAGCCCGGTGCAGTGTCACTCACATACTGAAAAGTACAGATCAGAACCCTCTTCCTATTGTCTAAGGAAAGGCTATTCACATGGAAAGGATTTATTGATGTTTATTTTTAGAACTGCCATTTTAACTTTTTTAAGGGTTAATAAGAAATAAAAGTCATATTAGACATTAGGGACTGGAATACATTCAATGCAAGGGCAAAGTCTTCTTCAATCAGTCAAGTCTTCTTCTTTCCCTCCTCCACCTCTTTCTTTCTTCCTTGGACAGAAAGGTTTAACTAGACAATCCCTAGATGATGGGTAGCAGAAAAGAGGTCAAAGCTACTCACATAAGAATCAGTACTTCAAATTATTGCACAATTAATTGTGTAGATAGCTTCTTTTTCCTGAGATTTTTGTGTCTTCCAGATCCATGAGAAGTTCTTAGTGCTACTACTATAATCAGTATTTTAGTCCAAAAGTGAAGCAAGTAAGTTTAGGGCCTGCTTCAGATGCGCGAAGGCCTGGCACCTTCATGGGTGACAACAGCATTTCATCTTCTACGCCCCTCTTCCGAGATGTGTAATTGTCACTGTCATCAACATTGGGCCTGACCAGGCTGCCAAGCATTACACTAGCATGTCACTTGCACTACCTAATGTATTGCTCACAACAATCTACATGATTGATATTATTATCCCTTTTTAAAGATAAAAAAAATTGAGATTCGAGGATTAAACAATATACACAAGACAAGGTTTAAACTCAGATCTCAGTTTCAGAATCTGTGTACTTTTCAGCAGTTTATGGCCAATCCAGAGGACGCACTCAGTCACCACAAGGATGACTTCCATGCCAACTTCCTGCAGTGTGTCCACAGGACAACTGAAGAGCTACTTACCTGGACACAGGACCATTCCATGCTTAGATCTGGAAGGACCTGCTGCCTTCTCCTAATCCACTGGGTGGGCCTGATCCTAAAAGCTAGACTGTATTTAATCTAAAATATAAAGCACATCTTTATGAGGATGAAGTGAATATATCATGAAACTCAGCCTATTTTATGCATGACTCCCAAATCTCATGTCAGAGAACAAATGCATATTTCTTGCTCATGTTACAAGGGATCTTCCCAAGAAAGAAGTTCATGGGAAGAAGAGAATCAAGACCAGCCTCGGACCCAACCCTCTTACACAAGTGCAAAGAACTAGGCATAAATTGAAGAAGTTATTTATACAATAGCAGCCAGGTCTTGGGCCCAGGTACATATATATTAGCAATAATTAATAAAACACAGTTTTATAAAATCAGAAAGGAAGAACTTCCTTTAAATGTATCTTAAGGAAATTCTCTAATTTCTTCTAAGCAACTAAAACAGTAGAAGAATCAATCAGGTAAGAATCAATCAAGTAAAAGTCAAGAAGGTCTTAGAGATTATCTGATCATTCATTAACAATATGTCTTTACCAAACACATAATGAAAGAATTAAAAGCACAGTAAAATACAGATTCCTCTTTTAAGGTGTTTAGAGACTAAGGAAGAAGGTATCAAAATGTGTCCCTCTGCACCTAAACAGTAGAAAGTGGCCTAAGAGATTCAAAGAAGGCAAGGGAAGGTGATGTTGAATGAATGGATGTTGTGTGCCAGGAACATGCCCAGTACTGTCACAAACATCATCCCATCTAATTTTAAGTGGATATTAGTATTCCTATTTTACTGAAGGGTTCACACATGGTCAGAGATATTAAGTGCTTTGCCCCAAGTCCCCAGCTCCAGCACAGACAAGCACCATGATCTTATAATGGAGACTTTACCAAGATTCAAATGTCACAAGAAATCTCTCAATTACTTTATTTTGACCAATAGTTTGACTCCTGAGGGAGAGGACATGACCTTAAAATAAGTCCAGTCGATGACAATTAGATATGTTCATAGAGATCTGCTGATGCAATCATTAAAGGGGGAGGTAAATACATTTAACAGGATTTAATCAGTATTCCTGGGGCTATGGCCTCATTGAGCAGGTACATAATGTGTTATAGATAGATCATTTAAAGTTCACTTTACAAAGCATTGGAGTAAATGATCATCTTGTGGTAATGGTGACTGTACAGCCATGAGAAAAGAGATCTGACCTGAAGTTAGATGAGTGAACACATGTATCTTAGGGTACAGTTTCAGACAACATCAAAAAATGCTGTATCTCAAACCACTTGGATGAAATTCATGACCTTCAAGACCATGTGTTTCTGAAAAAAAATACATTAGATAACTGCCGAAGTGACACGAGGGACAGAGAAACCATGAGTGGCTAAGTGACATCAGGATAAAATTGTGTCATGCAGGCTGAGATGGGAATAAGGCAACTATTCACTGTAGCGACTCATTGGGTTCTTGCTGTACCCAAGAAAGGAACAGCGGTGAAAAAGAGGAAATAGACAACAGACAAGAGCTGGGTCAGGTGGAAGAGACCTCTTTACCTGATGGGTAAGAAGACCTGAACAACAGCAGTAGGGGCATTTCTTTACACTCTTACAAAGTTAGTATCATGAGAGGCAAAGTTGCCTAGCGACTTATGACTGAATTGTCCAGGCACGTTGCTTTTCTCAAGACTGAAGTAGCTGGACTGCTTGAGTCACTCTGGCTCTGTCCCGCCCTCACACATATGACCAATTTCCAGCTTCAGCCACTCCCAATGATTTCCAGACAGTAACTCAAGTAGAAATGTGAGGTCTGACCATGACAGCAACTGAGAGTGTGGTCATTATCCTGATGGGTCTCGGCCGCAGTAAGGGAAAGAGGAAGAACCTTAATTTGTAGTAAAGCCCTGTTCCCCAGTGTGGCCGGCAAACAGGCATTGCCTGTGCACACTCAGATCCCTGGGTCCCACCCAAGATTCCTGAATCAGAACCTGCATTTCAACAAGACCCCAGATGATTCATGTGCGCGTTAAAGTTTAAGAAGCACTGCAGTGGAGTACACCAGGTGTTGCTTTACTTCCTGGCCAGCTGGCTGTAATAAGGGAGCAGAAGTCTGATGCTGCAAGCTGGTGACTCGGAGCCATGTGGCGCTGGCAGGGAGAGGAAAGAGATTGGAAGTGATCAGTCCAGCCCTGACAGCCCTCACTCTTCAGGCTTCGAGGGCTTTGAGGTATTTCTGGAGCCTGGAGAAGAAGGTGGGTGCAGGTCTCTGAGGAATAAACCTCTCACCTATTGGTGAGGAGCCCCTCCCCCCTTAACCTTGGACCTCAGCCAAGCCTGCGTTCCAAAGAACTGCTCTGGCTCCCACGAAAGCCTGCTCACCCATGTTGCAATATCTAAAACCAGCAATGATATTCCTTCCTAATTTTTTTTCTTTTTCCTGCCAAACATTCTTCCTTTATACTCCTTTTTCCCACCTATGCTGTGAGCCCCTCCTGGATTAGGATTCTGCCTTATTCTTCTTTCTAGACATCTGCCCATGTTGGTCACCATGCTCTTGGTGTGATCAAATAAATCAATTTTCCACTTCCACTCAGCATGTAAGAATAAAGCTACTTGTGCAGATGTGGCCTGATGCAAAGCACAGTGACGTTATCTCCTGCTTTGCTCCAGGCCACGCACAGGCATGGATGCCTTCCGCCGTTCACACAGACTTCCTCAGCAACAAAAACCCAAGCCCTTTCACACCAAGTGCTGTGATACCAAATCTTTGCAAACGTCTCCAGCACTGAATTGCTAGTGCTCAAGTCTTAACTAAGCATGAGGCAGACCCTATTCTAGAACCTCAGTAACGCCCCAGAGTCCACCCATGGGTGCTAGGGACAATCAGTATTACATCACCTGAAGTTAAATTCCATAGGATTGTGCTCACTTCAGCAGCACATATACTAAAAAATGTCATAGTATTATCTGAATCCCATGGTATATTTGGAAATAAAACTCAGGAGGTTAATTTCTAAATAATATAGACAGATATTGAAATGTTTGTCATTGCCCCAAAATTGATACAATATAACCCATTTTGAGATTATATGTGTGTATGTATGTGCAGAGAGAGAGAGAAAGAGATTATGAATTACATATAATTCATGTAAGACTATATATGGAGTATGAAGGAAAATACGGTCAACGTTTATATTTTTTAAAATTTATTAATCAAAACACACATTGCCATTAATCGCTCTCACAATACACCTTCACTTTGAACACACTTATCTGACCATGTTGGCCACTTTCTAAAGCAATGCTTGCCATCCTCTTTCAAGAATGTCTTTACTTGCACTGTCATGGCTGCCTTGAGGCCTTGAATTGATTCAAAACATTTGCCCTGTATGGTCATTTGCACTCTGGGGAAAAGCCAGGAGTCCGATGGTGCCAGATCCCGTGACTCGGGTGGAGGAGAACACAGTGTAATGTTTCTACGCACCTGCCTTTCTGTTGCACAGCACTAGAGAGCAACATGTGAAGCACTTTTTATCACATCTCAAAAAGACTTACGAAAGAGGACTTCAGAGCCACTTCATAAAGTGGCAGAAACAATGAGATAAGTGTGTTCAAAGCAGGGCAAAGTGTTCTGAGGGGGGTTGATGGCAATATGTCTTTTGCTGTATTAACTTCCTAAAAATTTAAACATTCACTGTAGTTTTGATCACATGATATTAAGAATAGACATAATACTCAGAGTGGTAAGGTGGTTATCACTGTATGAATTTGTAGTTTCTGCATACAAGGGTGGAAATAGTGCAAGTTAATTATAAACATTAACCAGTACTAATTCATTAGGGAAGACAAGAAGTCTCTTTATAAAG